TCTCGGTACTTGTAGTTCTTGCAGGACTTACGTTTCTGGCATTCGCTAGCCAAGAGAGAGGCTGGAGGACTTTAATTCCCAGAGGGCAGAGCGGAAGCTGCGCCTGCGCATTGTCAGTGAGGGCGTGTATGTCTGTGTGTCTGAGGAGAGAGAGCGAGAGTGAGTGAGTGAGTGTGAGTGCGGGATAGGGTGGTGGCCGTTACGTTCGGGGCAACGGCTCCGGCAGAGGAGAAGTAAGAAGAGAAACAACGTCCGCCGCTTCCGCCTTCACCTAGGAGGAGGAGGAGCTGGTAGGAAAACGAAAGCGATTCGCGCTGGGCCCGGACTAGACCGAGTTGGGCCGGTGGGGGTCTGGGCTATGAGCCTTTGAGGGTCGCTTGGGACGCGGAACGAGACTCGAGAGCCGAGAGCTATGTCTCAGCCGCCGCCGCCGCCTCCGCTGCCGCCGCCACCTCCTCCCCCTGAGGCACCGCACACCTCGTCGTCCCTGTCGGCGACTGCTCCGGGGATGCTCTCGAAGCGGAGAGACCGAAGAATCCTCTCCGGGAGCTGCCCAGATCCCAAGTGCCAGGCGCGTCTGTTCTTCCCGGCCTCCGGTTCTGTCAGCATCGAGTGTACCGAGTGCGGACAGCGGCACGAGCAACAGCAGCTGCTGGGGGTGGAGGAGGTGACCGACCCGGACGTGGTGCTACACAACCTGCTGCGGAACGCGCTGCTGGGGGTTACCGGGGCGCCCAAGAAGACCACGGAACTGGTAAAGGTGATGGGCCTTTCCAACTACCACTGCAAATTGTTGTCGCCCATTTTAGCTCGCTATGGAATGGATAAACAGACAGGCCGGGCTAAGCTTCTCCGGGACATGAACCAAGGCGAACTGTTCGATTGCGCTTTACTGGGTGACCGCGCCTTCCTCATCGAACCAGAGCATGTGAACACGGTGGGCTATGGCAAGGACCGCTCCGGAAGCCTCCTGTATTTGCATGACACCCTTGAGGACATCAAGCGGGCCAATAAAAGTCAGGAATGTCTCACTCCAGTGCATGTGGACGGGGATGGACACTGCCTAGTGCATGCTGTGTCCCGGGCTCTAGTGGGCCGGGAGCTCTTCTGGCATGCCCTGAGAGAGAATCTGAAACAGCACTTTCAGCAGCACCTGCCCAGATACCAAGCCCTGTTCCATGACTTCATTGATGCTGCTGAGTGGGAAGACATTATCAATGAGTGTGACCCTTTGTTTGTACCGCCTGAGGGTGTTCCTTTGGGCCTGAGGAACATCCACATATTTGGTCTTGCCAATGTGTTACATCGCCCTATTATTCTGTTAGATTCTCTCAGTGGCATGAGAAGCTCTGGTGATTATTCAGCCACTTTTCTGCCTGGGCTCATCCCTGCAGAGAAGTGCACTGGGAAAGATGGTCATTTGAACAAACCAATTTGTATTGCATGGAGTAGCTCTGGTAGAAACCATTATATCCCCTTGGTAGGCATAAAAGGGGCTGCTTTGCCCAAACTGCCTATGAATTTGCTTCCTAAAGCATGGGGTGTGCCTCAGGACCTTATTAAAAAGTACATCAAACTTGAGGAGGATGGTGGTTGTGTTATTGGAGGAGACAGAAGTCTGCAGGATAAATACTTACTTAGGCTTGTTGCTGCTATGGAAGAAGTCTTTATGGACAAACATGGTATCCACCCCAGTTTGGTTGCTGATGTTCATCAATATTTCTACAGGAGGACTGGGGTGATAGGAGTTCAGCCTGAAGAAGTCACAGCAGCTGCTAAAAAAGCAGTAATGGATAATCGCCTTCACAAATGTTTGCTCTGTGGTGCCCTTTCTGAACTTCATGTTCCTTCAGAGTGGTTGGTTCCAGGAGGGAAACTGTATAACCTGGCAAAAAGTACTCATGGACAGCTGAGGCCTGACAAAAATTATAGTTTTCCCTTGAACAGTGTGGTTTGCTCATATGATTCAGTGAAAGATGTTCTGGTACCAGACTATGGACTAAGTAGCCTACCAGCTTGTAATTGGTGTCATGGCACATCTGTACGAAGGGTCAGAGGAGATGGGTCTCTTGTGTATTTGGATGGGGACAGAACTAATTCGAGATCCACTGGTGGCAAGTGTGGTTGTGGATTCAAACATTTTTGGGATGGTAAAGAGTATGACAATCTACCAGAAGCTTTTCCTATTACTTTGGAATGGGGTGGCAGAGTGGTCAGAGAAACAGTATATTGGTTCCAGTATGAAAGTGATTCATCTTTGAATAGTAATGTTTATGATGTTGCAATGAAACTTGTTACCAAGCACTTTCCTGGTGAATTTGGGAGTGAAATCTTAGTTCAGAAAGTTGTCCACACTATCTTGCATCAGACTGCCAAAAAGAATCCTGATGATTATACTCCTGTAAATATAGATGGTGCTCATGCCCAAATAGCTGAAGATGTACAAGGACAAGAGTCAGAGTCTCAGCTCCCAACTAAAATTATTCTTACTGGACAGAAAACAAAAACTTTGCACAAGGAGGAGTTAAACATGAGTAAAACCGAAAGAACTATTCAACAGACTATTACGGAACAGGCTTCTGTAATGCAGAAACGGAAAACAGAGAAGTTAAAACAAGAACAAAAAGGGCAGCCCAGGACTGTTTCTCCCAGTGCCGTTCGGGATGGTCCATCCTCTGCACCTGCTACCCCTACCAAATCTCCCTATTCACCAACAACTTCTAAAGAGAAGAAAATCCGAATAACAACTAATGATGGACGACAGTCCATGGTGACACTTAAGTCTTCAACAACCTTTTTTGAACTTCAGGAAAGCATAGCCAGAGAATTCAACATTCCTCCTTATTTACAGTGTATTCGATACGGCTTTCCTCCTAAAGAGTTAATGCCACCCCAGGCAGGAATGGAAAAGGAGCCAGTTCCTTTACAGCATGGTGACAGAATTACAATAGAGATTCTAAAAAGTAAAGCAGAAGGTGGTCAGTCTGCTGCAGCACACTCTGCTCACACTGTGAAACCAGAAGAGATTGCTGCTACTGGTAAACTGCCATCTAAGGAACTTCAGGAGCAAGCTGACAAAGAAATGTACTCCTTGTGTCTTTTAGCAACGTTAATGGGTAAGATGAATTTAACTCAGATAGTATTTCTTAATGGTGAATGTAATACACTTTTTTCTGTTTCTGTAAAAAAATCTGGTCATCATAAAAACTATATTTTAGAAGAAAATTATTTTTTTAATCTTTTTCACAGTTAATGGCTAAATATTTGTGTGTTTTTCTGTTGAGTAAATATTAGGAGGACATTTACTCCTAATGTGAAAATAGTCCCTTAACACCAGATTATTTAAATATAATAATTTTTTTAAATTTTAAAACATTTCTATTGACTTAATTGGGGTGATATTGGTTAATAAAATTATATAGGTTTCAGGTGTACAATTCTATAATTCATCTCTATATTGTATTGTGTGTTCACCACCCCAATAATTCTTCTTTTAAATAGGCTTGTAATGTATCCATTTAAAGCCTTTTTCATTTCCCCCTCTCGGTTCTATTGAACCTGCCCACCTCTCTTTGCCCTTTTCATTTATTTTTAAATTTTGTTTTTCTGCATGTCATGTGATTTCAGGACTTCCTGTTTGATGAATTGCAGTTTCTGTGTTTTTCTTCACACCACACTCCCACCTGATAGTGTCTCTCCTCCATTTCCTGTTCTCCCTTCCCCAGTTCATCACATTTTTCTTATTTGTAATTAGGATTAGTGTTCAAGTAATTTCCTTACTCAGTGACTGCCATAATTGTAATGAACTGTTGTAACTCATAAGAAACATGAAGAACAGATGTAGATGATAATGAGGTTGCTTCGAAGCTTTCTTTTTAATAATTAAGCATAAAGTAAAGGAAAATATATTATCAACAGAATATGTAGTTTAAAGGTTTAGATTATTTGAGATGTGATCCATTGATGCACTTCTTACATTCTTATTTGCCTAATGTATGTTTTTTAATTAGTGTTAATATGTTTTACATAGTAAGGCTTAAAGTAGAAGTAAAATTTAGATCTCTTACATATTATTAGAAGGACCTTAGTTTTGCTGAGATTAGAGCTTTCAACTAGAAAAGTGATCTGTGTTTTGATTCTGTTTCCAAGAATGCTAAATATCAGTGAATTGGACCTGACCTTCCAAAATGAAGATTATTTATTCTTGGCTTGTTAAATTATTTGGCAGACATAGTCATTGAATTGGGGGATATGTAGGCATTTTATATATTTCTGTCTTAGAGTTTTTACTTTCTTAGAGACTGCATGGAATAGAGGAAATATTGTGTGATCTCTGGAATCAGAAAGATCTAGAATTTTAATCTTATCTCCTCTACTTATTAACTTTGTGATTTCAATAAGCTGCTTAACTTCCCAATACTTCAGTTGCCTCCTCTATACAAAATACCCTTGTAGTTAGTATACAGAGTAACAATTTATTACTCCCAGAACTCTAAAAATTAAATAACATCAGCACAAAATGGATAAAATTAGATATTTTCAGAAGACACTTTTTTTAAAGAAAGCAATCTCCTTGATCAAAAACAGAAAAGAGGAGGCTTTCTTCAATAGAAGATGAATTTTTGAGGATGTGGTTCAGATCATAATTAACCTTGGATGCTCAGCACCTAGTATAGTGCCCAGCAGATAATAGGTACTCTGAAATGTTTTTGATTGAATTAAACACATGACATTAACATATCTCAACAAAGGCTGTGCCAGCAGAAATGGAATGGATGGTAAGCACTGAACATTGAAAAAGATTTGAAAAGCAGAATCTGGCACTGTTTATACACTGCTGCACAAAAGGAAAGATAAATTACCCATGGTTCATGAAAATTCTGGTAACTAGGAAGGTAATCTCTATTTAGGGACAGGAATAAGTGGTCAGTCCTCACCATGGCCTGGCTGAAAGATCTGATATCCCTTTACTGATTTCATATTCATCAAGCATCAGTTCTGAACACTGATTTAGCTTTCTGATACAAATGTTGATGTACAGTTGAAAGTGCTAATGAGGATTAGGTGGTGTGAATGAGATTGTGATCAGTAGTCTAAAAGTCTGGTCAACAAGATAATATATTTTGTAACAAATATTAGTACAATATAATTCTGGTTTATAATTAGTCACTTTTTTATTTTGGTTTGAGGTTTCTGCGTCTGAATATCTGAGTAATAGACTATGGACTGCCATGAGTTCACCAAGATAATGTCTTCCTTTTCTGAACCCTTCCCTCTTCACTTCCAATATTTATGTTGCTGTCCTTACAAATTACAGATTTCTTTAAATCTTCTTCCACTCAAACACAAAATTTGAAGATAAACAGTGTTTTGCTAATTTTATAGTGGTAATACTTGAGAGACTTTCTGCTTTAAAGTACTAAGACAGTGCCTGGCCTGTAATAGTCCCTCCATAAATATTAATTTTCTACCTCTACATATCTTATAACTGTATTTGAATTATATAGAAGATACTCTTAATAAAAAGTGGTGTGTTTGTAAGAATATCAAGTTGGGGATAGTTATATACACACAACCTTATGTAAAGAGTGCCCGGAAACTATTGCTGTTTGGATTGGAGTGGGCTGGAAAATGGAAAGTGACAGAGCTTATTTAGAAAATTGCAAGTTTCAAATTGCAGAAATTATTTTGTGAATTACCAAATGTGAACTAAGCTGCTGTTTTGGTTTAGAAAATAGCTCATCAAGCTTTATGCTGTTCAAATATCTGGCTCCTCATTTAGGTTTAGATTTAAATATCGCCTTCTTAAGAGAGGCTTTCTCCTTCTGATCACCTTATATAAAGGTTTGAGAGACCTTTATTTACCACTCTAAATAGGTACCTTTTATTCTATCCTCTTCATTTCTCTCATAGCACCTATTACAAGTTTTCATTATCTCATTTGTTGACTTACTTATCCATTTGCCTCCCCCACTGTATTATAAATTCCACAAAAGAGATAGTAATCTGTTTTATTCACTGATGGAAACCCTATCACCAAGTATAGGGCCTGACACTTAGGTGTTAAGAAAATGCTGAAAGAATTAGTGCAGATTATTTCAGCAAAATGAATGTCTGCTGTGAGTTAGAGACTGCTAGAGGTACAAAATTAATGAGACACAGTCCTTGCTTTCCATAAACGTACCTGAAGGATCCCAGTTGAGAGCATCCCATACTTTCATAGTTTTAGTTTTCATTATATAGCTTTTATATCTTCATTAAATAGGCTGAATGCTTGATAGGGACATGTGCTCTTCCTTACATTATTTTTAAGTAGAATATTTATTAAATAGAGTTTATATCTATTTCTGTATATCAGTAAGACATTAAGTAAGTACATGAGTGTTTTGCTCAATATAAACGATTCATGGAACTAGTCACTTTAATCTTATGATGGTAGTTTTAAAATGAAATAATATTTTGCCTGTAATTATTTCACATCTGCTTTATCCAGACCACTTGGGGGTTATTGAACAATTTTTGCAGGCTGTAATCTTTATTATTTATGTAGTAGTGGAGTGACTCTAACTCTGGTTATTGTTTTCTTGTGGATTTTTTTGTGGATTTCTTTTGTGGTAGAGATGATAGATGGTACAGCATCCATCATAAAAACTAGGCTAATTAATTTTTTCTCATCAATGTGTTCTACTGAGTTTCTAGTTAATTTTCTTTTTCAAGAGATAAAGACAGGTTTGTGAAAAACAATTTGTTGGAGTTGCTTTAATGGAGTTAGGCTACTTGTGAATATTTACCCCATTCACTACAAAGTTGAGCAACCTTTCAGGAGTTGAGAAACTTGTTTGGTTTTTGTGTACTTTCTATCTTCCTGAAAAAAACTGTATGCATTTTTAATATACTTTTTTTTAAATCCTTGCTCAAAGACATGCTTAGAGAAAGGGAGAAGACAGAGTTTAAAGTATACAATATTTTGTAATTTAATAGTGCCTATTGATGCTATAACTGCCTTAAGATTTTCCAGAATTATACCTGGGGTTCAGACATTGTTTTTAGATAACATTGGATCTGAGCATCATTATTACATCTTGATATTTTTTCTTTAAATATTGGATAAAGGACAGTTTCAAATCTAGATAGTAATTAATACATATTATTCTTTACATGCCCTCTGATCACCCCTCTAATTGATTTATATACAGCATATATTTAGTAGAGCAGTTATAAAGTTGATTTAAAAATAATGCATGCCTGGCCGATGTGGCTCAGTGGTTGAGTGTCAACCTATGAAACAGGAGGTCACAGTACGATTCCAGGTCATGGCACATGTCCGGTTTGTGGCTCAATCCCCAGGGGTGGCCTGCAGGAGGCAGCCGATCAATGTTTCTCTTTCATCAAAGTTTCTGTCTCTCTATCCCTCTTCCTCTCTCTCTCAAATCAATAAAAATATATTCAAAAAATAAAATAAAAATAATGCATATAGATGTATCTTAAGATGAATGTGGATGTTATAATAAATGATTTTATAATATGCTCTGAAGATTAAGTTAAACATTGGCTTTGTTCCTTTCTATTCTCAGTTACTTTTTAAAAAATATTTTTCTTATTGATTTCAGAGAGAGGAAGGGAGAGGGAGAGGGAGATAGAAACATCAGATGAGAGAGAGTCATTGATAGGCTGCCTTCTGTACGTCCCCTACTGTGGATCAAGCCTACAACCCAGGCATGTACCCTGACTGGGAATCAACCATGACCTCCTGGCCACATTCTACAAACCAAAAGTAACTTTATGTTCCTTCCATTCTTTTTTTAAAAAATTATGTTTTTATTGATTTCAGAGAGAGGAAGGGAGAGGGAGAAAGGGATAGAAAAATCAATGATGAGAGAATGATTGATCTGCTGCTTCCT